AAAAAAAAAAAAAAAAAAAAAATTGCCCAATTGCCTCATCTGCTAACCTTCTATGAAGCTTCATCTCCAGAAATAAACACACCTATAAATCATCCAAAAAAGATAGAAATTCCCTCTTTTTGCTCTTGTGACATCTCTCTCAAAATTGAAAACACAACAATGGCACAAGACAAAAAAAGCAGCTCAAATAACTCACTCAAGCTCTTTATCAAGAGACTTCAAAACTATCTCCGGCTCTCGAGAAAGCCACACGTGCCGAACGGCGTCAAGAAAGGGCATTTTACAATCTTGGTGAAAAACGAGAACGGGCGGCCCACAAGGCTTGTCGTGGGGCTGTGCACGTTGAAACATCCGGGTTTCTTGAGGCTGCTAGAAATGGCGGAAGAGGAATATGGACTCGGGCAGAGAGGAGCACTGGTCGTGCCCTGTGGGCCCGACGAGGTTCGAAGGATTTTGGAAGAGAAATAGTAGTGTTTTGACACATTCTTTTGGATTTTTACTTGTGTAAATAGAAAGATATAGATACATCTTCTGTCTGTAGTTATTTCAAGATTATTAGTCCATTTTTTTGGTTAAGAAACTAAAGGAGGGAGACTATGATTTTAAGATAACTAACTTAACAAGACTCAAAGATCAGTGAAAAGGATAATTGAGGATTTGAGATAAGAACTGAAAAGATTTATTCATGGAAGTATGGTTTGGGACACTACTGCAAAAGAATTGAGCAGCTTGCGAGCGGCTCGAGTTTGACCGAGCTCAAGCATTTCGAAATCGAACTCAAGCTCGAGCCTATAGTTTGTATGCTCAAGCGTTCACCGAACCCCCAAGAATTCACTAAAATGACCAAAATAGCCATCATTGGAGTTTTTTTAAATTGAAATTTTTGACCCAAACACTAGTGGAATTCGAGCCGTTCTAACGTTTGTGTTTCGTTGTCGAGCCAAGCCTCTAGTAAGACAAGCATGTTGAGCATGAGCTCGAGCAGGTGTCAAAAAAATCGAGTATGACTAAATAAGATCAATGCTCGACTCAACTCGTAATTTATCAAATGAAATAAAACATGAATTGAAACAATGAAACATGAGATCTTATCAACAATTTAACATCTCTACCTGCCATTATATAAAGGCATTATTATCAAATTTCATCCCAGTACTTACTGTTCTGCATATAAAAAAAAAATTGCTCATATTATAGGAAAGCTTAACTAATAGCATTCCTTTATAAATAATCATCAAAGGCTAGTTTATTAATAATATGCTAGATAGAGAATAAAACTTTTTAGCAGCCTGAATATCGCAATTTAGCTATTAGTACTAGCAAAATAACAGTTGGCACACTCTAGTTTGCCATCCACAAGGACCATAAGAAGAAAAGCGCCACCGTAAAAGAGTACAACAAATAAACGTACGAACAAAAAACTATCGTCATCTTTCCCTTATCGAGAGAAATTCATCTGTACCTCATGCAACAATTTAAATGCATAATAAATTCTGCATTTGCCTCTTGCAGCAAATAAGCATCGAACCTAATCCACACAACGTCGATCAAACATCTCACCAGTTACTTAGCTTCAACCTCCATTACTTAGCTTCAACCTCCATTGGCAAAGGAAATGCTTTCCCACGATGGTTGAAGATCATAAAATCCAGATTGGCTGGTAAGCTTACCACCCTGCTTTCACGAAAAAGACAAGAAAGAACAATTTTGACGTAATTCAGAAGCACAATGATTAAAAAAAAAAAAAGACAAAAATAGGCTGGTTTTGCTTCCATAACTGTTAATAAGTAAAAGAAATTAAGAAGGCTCAATTGAATTAGACTTAGAATGGAAAGTGCTTGTGAATCTGCACAGTTTCTCTTCGTTTAGTTTCTTCACCTTTTCTTTAACCACAATGATCATTGAATTTCTATAAGATATACTTCACTATAAAACTCATCTTGCAAGCTTTTCAATGACGTCTCTTATAAACGAAATCGACAAATGATACACGATTTTTTTGATATTATCATGGAGTCAAAAGCCCTCAATTTTGCCATTCGACTAACAATCAGTTTGTAGTTGAGGTAGAAATTTTTGTTTCATTCCAGGGTTGGCTGGTAATCAACTTTCAGAAGGCAAATTGTCGATCTCTTGAATTCAAGAGGCATTTGTTAACTTTTTATCTTCAGAAGGCAAAGTGACAAAAACTGCAGAGTTTGGGAGGTAAAATGTTTTTTTCTTATTCATTTATTCATAATCTTAGTTCTGTAGTTTTTCCCTACTCTCTGTGATAACCCCTACAACCTCACGTGAGATAACATTAAAGTTAATAAGACAAATAGCATAAAATATCACTAGTAACACATATCAAGAACAATGCCTTAAACTGACGATATACAAGTTTACAGCTCTTTTTAGTCCAAAGACCAGAAACAGATGAAAGAATACACAGGACATAGAACAAGTTTGAAAACATCGAACTACATACTTGTAAACTAACGAGGGTTCATCTTAATACCCAAAAACTTACAGGCTCACAGCACAACCCAACTATGAGAACACATTAAAGCACTGGTCTTGCCAGAAAGCACAAACCTCACTAATCAACAGGCCCATTTGACGATACACCATACGTTTAAAGAAACTTGAAATTCATGATAACCAGATTGGTTAGAGTTAGATTAACACAACAACACTGTCCAAATGCATAAACAGATTCCTAATTCTTGACATGACTTATTCAGTCACGTTAAAAAAATAACACCTTGGGCAAATTAGTGCCCTCCACCTACAGTTTATTGACAAGCTACCCCTTTAGATTCAACAACCTTCTACTAATGCAGCATAGTATTACTAGAAATAACTAGATTAACACAGTAATATCACATGAAAGTATATAACAAGTAAATAAAAAATTACCTATTCTCATCAGAATGTGGGAGTATCGACAAGAACTTCCCAGGGACGGTTAAAGCAGCCCACATACACAACAGTAGTCCTCCAATCAACTCAATTACTACCTGCAAATAAATCAAGAAAAAAACAACAACAAATCAATTAACCTAAAATTAAGCAAAACACATCAAATTCTAGGTTTAACTAAATTACGTTGATTGGTGGCCCTGAAAACTCTTCTTCGGTGATCTTGAGCAGGGATATATCTGCAAATAATACAAAATCGACAACCCATCAGAATCTAATGATCGGAGCAGAGAAAGGTACAAGCGTAGATCGAAAGTGTGAAGGGTACACTGGATGGTGGAGTAGGCCGCGTGTGCGAGGAACAAAACCCCGAAAACTCCGACGAGGAAGCCCGCGCCCATGGCTACTTTTTTTCCGGCCGCTGTTTAAGTGTTTTGCAGTCGGGTTGGGAGTAGAGATCGCCGGCCGACGACTGCGAATTGTGGAGTGGATTTTGTATGGCTTTTTGAGTTTTGATCCCCAATGCGTTTCTTCACGTGGGTACGTAACATTGCTTTGGGCCGCCTCTGGGCCTAGAGATACCAATATTGGGCTGATTGAGGCAAAAGTGACTGCGAAGAGTGAGGCCCATTGAGGCAAATCTTTTAGAGCAAATTTGACGAGTGTTGTGTTAGCCCCTGGGCCCTGGCTAGGGGTGAGAAAAACTGAGCCGAAACTGAAAAATTGAACGACTCATGCAATTCGATGCGGTTATATTGTTTTATAAGTTTGGTTTTCGATTTTGTGTGCGGTTTAATTTGCACCGGACCGCAACAAATTGCATAAAATATATAGAAAAAACGGTATAAAATCGAAAACCGAATCAAACCCTGCATTTCCGAGCGGTTCGGTTCAATTATTTTAATATTAAAAAAATGGGTTCGGTTTCGGTTTGTTTTTTCTCTATGTTGCGGTGCAGTTCGATTATATTTTTTGCTAGGTTCAGGTTTCGGTTTTGCGCTTCGGTGCAGTTTTTCACCTAATCGCACCGTTGCTTACACGTACCCGGCTAACTTAAAATTAAATATAAGCTATTAAATGTTATCGTTATTCACTACATACATTATGAGGAATTCATTATTCATAAACAATTAAAAATGTCATCGTGATGATCGAATATTACTCGAGTTATTTAAATGTTTCTCTGATATTCTTTCATTTAATCTAAATCTTTTGAATTCAATTCACGTACTCAAATTATTGATTGAAATTTGCAGAATAAATAAATAAATACACCTCACTATCCGCAATTCTCGCTTTCGAACACATGATTCATCGTGTATTAAGGTCGCAGACTTGCAGGTCACGCTTGCAAACAAAAGGATACGAACATGAGTTTGTGGCTTGGAATTAATGTAATGTTATTTTATTTCGTACCAGTACGTGTATTGCACGAGCTGTATTTGCTTTAGTAAAATTTAGAATTGAAGATTGTTAAATCAATAAATTATAATAGTAGAACATTTATTAGGTAATCGTAAAATATTCATTATGAAAAAGTCATACATTTATTAAAATCCCTTTGTTTTTTCATGCAAAATTATTTTGCACTTGATAATCGTGGATCGATATTTACCAAGATTGCTCTCTCCATTTAGTAATTGCGACTCATTCCTTTAAATTTTATATGTATGTACGATTTATTTATGTATATACGAAAGTGTACAACCCAAATAATGCGATTTATTTATATGTATATACAAAAGTTCAAATATGCGATTTATTTATATGTATATACAAAAGTGTAAAGTTTAAGTAATAAATTTTATTTAGCATTTATATTATTAATATCTATACCATGATTATTGTAAAGTCATACTCTTATTTTTACGACAAATTTATATTATATTAAAATGAATTGATAAGTCAAAGATTGAATTAAAAAGATTGAATTAGTTGGTTAAATTATTTGATTATTATACTACTTTTAGAAAGATACACCATAATATTTGATTCCATAATGATACTGCTTTAATCAGATAGAATTGATTCCAAACAATTAGATTTAGTGTTTGATCAAATATTATGGAGTATTTTTTTAAAAACAATAAATCTTGTTGTTAAGGGAATTTAAAACTGATTATAATTAATGTTTCAAGATGTATTTTAAGAAGTTGTGTAAAATTACTATAATTAGGATGTAATTAATGCACAATGACGAAAAATGCTTACTATATTTGATTTAAGTTTATTCTTATTTATATATCGATATAGATAAGTGTTAATAAATATTTAATTTTATTTTAATTGTAAATAAACCAAAAATAAAAATAAAAAATAATACTAACACACACACACTCACATATCAATCATTTAAATTGCAATCGACATTGGCAGTGACTAATATCTGGTAACTGATGTGATAGCTCACCCCATCACTCATTCTGCATAATACACACACATAACTCTATTCAATCCTAGGAATCAACCAATCACTCCAACCAAACATGGGACAACAACCACCACACATCATCATAATCCCACCACCTTTCCAGGGCCACATAAACCCTTCGGTCCAGCTAGCCCTGCACCTCGCCGCCAAGCGCTTCGTCGTCACTTTCGTCAACACCCAATTCATCCACCATCGGATCAAATCGGCAAGAAAAATCGACGGTGAAGATTTGTTCGCCCGAGCACGCGGGTCGGGTCTTGACATCCGGTACAGGACGATTAGCGACGGGTTTCCCCTGTCGTTTGACCGGTCTTTACACCGGGAGCAGTTCATGATGGGCCGGATCCACGTCTTACCGGCCCATGTAGACGAGGTTGTGGGTGAGCTCGTGGGCTTCGATCCCCGGCCCGGTTGCTTGGTCGCTGATACTTTTTCGACTTGGGGCTATGATGTGGCCCGGAAGTATGGGCTCGTGTTTGTTTCCTTGTGGACTCAACCGGCGGCGGTTTTGTCGATTTACTGCCACGTGGACGTGTTGAGGGAAAATGGTCATTATGGTTCAAACGGTG